GCACTCTTTTAATTTTCACTGTCAAAAGCAAGAAACACCCAACAATAATGAAAGATATTTTAACAGAAAAATAAAACTGAACGTGGAACTATGGCACTTAATCTCTCAAAAACCTTCACCACATTTTAAGTTACAGTCCCCATTTTCTCACATGCAATAATGACGAAAATTTTGCTAGGACTCAGAATAAAAAGATAATATAGGGTTTATTAACAGAAAACTTGTTGTTACTTTACAGAAAGAACTATTAAACTGGAAATGAAAACAAATCCCTTCCTCATTTGCAAAGTACTACTGAGACAAGTACCAGCTCTTTTTTTAATGAAATACTGTATTTTTGTAGAATCCTTACTGACAAAACACTGACTGACTGCAGTTCTGCCAAAAGGATACATTCTACATGTTAACACCCTGGTTTTTTTAGTCATATTACATTATTTTTAGACCAGTCAAATATTACATTCAATTAAACTGATATTATTCAGATTAGTATCAGTTAAACCATCACTTTTTCAAAAGGTTTTTTTGTACCTCACTCTTCTGAGGATCATGCTCTGGGGAGGTGTCCCTCTGGACAGGCTGTATGGATGCTTTGCTGGCAGAAGTTGTGGAGCTTTTTGGTGAATGAAAGGCATTGATAAGGTGACTCAGAGGAACAGTAGCCTGGAAAAAAAAAGATAAGGACTTAAGCTTGTTTAAACTATTCAAATATACTTCTGTTCCAAACTCTAACTTATAATAGCATATCTTGTACACTGCCTTTTAAATGAGGACTTAATTATAAATCACATGATCTTCAACACCACAGTGTTAGCTGAAACCTCTTTTTAAAGAGAAAAAAAGAGAAAGTTTAAGCATGTATGACAGATTAGAAACTTGTCTTTTCATCTCCAAAGCAATACTTTTAATAACTTGAATTATCTGTACTTTTTCTTGCATTATTATGAGCCATTCCCAAATGTTGCCTTTACGTTTTCTTCCTTGGGATCACACTTTCAGCTTAAGAATCAAAATGAAACTATGCAAAGCACAAGGTCAAATGTGCAGTTCAGCAGCATTCAGCCAACTCCACCTCATGAATCAGTACAGAAGCCCAGGTGCACCACGTATCAGCTCCTCCTCTTGACACGACTACATCTTGTGAACATATGGGACAAACAACCCCAGCAGCTCCAAACCTCCTCACACTCTGTACACGTCACTAGGAAGGAGCTGGGACACAACCCTGGCTACTGGAATGATCCCTGACTGCAATTCCCGATTGAAGCACAAATGGGTATGGCTATCAGCGTCCTCCTGCAAGAACTACCATCTTTGTGTTGGCCAGACAGAAGCTCAAAAGAGACAATGCTGTGAGACATGAAAACTGCTTCATAATTAATTGTACAAAATTGTAATTAGAGTTTGTGGTAAAACCATAAAGCCTCAAGAGGTCAAAGCCAACATCCCAACCACTAAGCGAACTTCCCGTTTGCATTTCCCACTCTGGTGAAATGACACCTCCCCAGAAACATATAAACTCTTCCATTTCACTACTCTAATGAAAGCTTTAAACACATTCTCTACGCGTGAAAAGAACAATCAAATGCCATTGTGGCAACAGACTATCACACGCTAATACAAAACTTAAAAATAAAACTGAAACCGCTGGTTCAGATCAAAGTCCATAAAACACACCAGTCCCATCAGACTCACTGCCTAATTAAAGGTGTCTTCCCGATTGCGTTTGGACTGTTCTGTGCAACAAATTACCGACCGTTTTCCCTCCACTAACTCTTCTAAGTCATTTCCTCTCGGTTTTCACAAGAACCCGTTAAAATTAACAGCACAGTTTAACTGTAGTAACACAAGTCACCACCCTTTGCTTCTGCTACAAAAACAGACACTAGGAAGTGCCATCTAAGGTTATTTCGTCGTTTCAGAATGCTTTCACTGTACCTTCCTCTCTGCCCCATTTATGTATCTTTTTCCCCGATGCGGACCGCGCACCGCCGTAGCCCCCACCCGCTCCTCTCCCCGCTGCGGCCCCGCTGACGCCCAAAGCCCCGGGAACGTGGCAGGCAGGAACTCGGCTCCTCCCGCCGCTGCCCGCAACCCCGGGCCTTCCGAGAGCCCAAAGCCCGGACACGGAGCGATGCCCCGCCGGAGAGCGGGCCCGGGGCGCCCCGCGGGCGAACCGCGCACGGCACCGGGCCGGAGCGCCCCGCCAGCCCCTCACCTGGGGCTGCACGGTGGAGAAGGAAAACATCCTGCCGGCGGGGCCGGCGGCGGCCGCAGGCGCCTCTTCCGCCTCGCAGCCCAGCCGCAGGAGCCCGCCCGCTGTGGCCGCCGGCGGCTGACGAGGCCCCGCGGCTCCGCTCCGGGAAATGTCCGCCCCGCGGCCGCGCCGACCGGGCCGAGCCGCCCCGGAAGCGGCGGCAGCACAAAGAGCTTCCGGGCCGCTGCCCCGCGCAGCCGCCGCCTCGAGGCGCAGGCGGAAGAGGGGAGCGGGGCGGGCGGGACCGCGCGGGGGACGCGCTCTCGGGCGGCGGCGGTGCAGCTGCCAGAGGGTCCTGCCCCTGCTCGGTGTCATCGCCCCCGGGTGGTGTCCGGAACGCGGGTCGTTAACCGGCGCGCACCGCCAATTCACACACCCAGGCGAGACATTTCTAATTCTTATTCTAGTTTGCACCAAATAGGGACATAGGTGGTGACCCACGAAAGGCTGGCTTACCAATTATAAAACCTGACACTATACGTTTTAACAACGACATCAACATTCATTGGCTACAAATTACATAAGTCTTTTGTTAACTTAGATTTCAACCCCGTATTTGTTAGCTATAGATCTCCCTTCTCATGCTAATCAGTGTGTAGGTACAGTTCTTCCTTCCATTTGAGTCTGGGATCCGTTTTGAGAAGGTGGTCAGGGTCTCCTACTGCCAGAATTACCCTTCCCAGTTACTGCTCAGTCCTGACTTCAGTCCTGGTGACTCTTGTCCAGACAGCCCATTTGTCTTGGGAGTGTCTTTCCTTAAAACAAAACATTAGCCAAGTGTGTGATGTTTCTAAAGCAATGGAGGATAGGGAGGTGATTCGAGACAGCCAGCACAGCTCCACCAAGGGAAAATCCGACCAACAAGTGGCCTAGGATGGAGTAAATGTATCAGGGAATAAGGGAAGGGCTACAGATGTCATTTATCTAGACTTCCATAAAGGAAATTTTTGTGGGGGTTTATTATCGTTTTCTTTTTTTCACCCGACCACTGCACCTGACAGAAAGTGCTACCCCACACCAACTGCTCTGGATGAGCACAGCCCCACTGCTGCCTCCCCCTGCCTTTGTGTACATCTCTGCTGTTTTCCACTAGCACTCTCTTGATCAAAGTCATGTAGCTCAGCTTGCTGATTCGGCAGAAACCTCACCTGACAACAGCAAAAAAAATCTAAAAGGTGATGAACATTTACCTAGATCCACTCCATGAAGCAGCTTTCCACTTAGCTATGCAATGGCTCATGCTGCCTCGAGGGAAGAGCGGGAAGGTGTTGCCCTCTCTGCAGTGAGCTCAGGCTGTAGTGGAATGCACGCTCCCGAGCACTATCGTTGCTGGCATGCCCTGATGTCTGCCCAGGCTGCCAGCACAAGAACCACCCCCCTACTTTCTCTCAGCTGGATTTTTCCTCTGGCATTGCAGCCCGTGAGACACATCTAAACTAAAGTGGCAGAGTTAAATGACAAACACAAACAAGGATAAATTATATTTAATAGCATTACAAAAAGCTAACTTAAAACATGTTTTCTGCATTTGCTTATTAAATTGCAGGTATTGCTGGGATCTGTGGGATAGCAGGTCACCTTCACAAGTCACAAGCAAGGTCTCTCTGAGCAGGGTCAGATTGTAAATTATGTATCTTGGAGCAAAACAAGGGCCTAATAACTAATCTGCTGTGTGAAAGGACACCCACTGTTGTGCAGCAATAGCTCTTTGCTGATGCATAGACTGCAATTATGATCAGTGTGAACAAAACATGAACAGCCATGTACACGTGAAACCAACATAAACAGTAAGGCAAGGGTTAAAAAAGTGACCTAGAACACAGCTGAGAGCAGTAAAATGGTAAACACTGAGGGCTGTGCAGTGTAAACAGAGCAGAAGGCCTGTGCTCTGGGAACAGGAGGATGGCAGCTGGGTCAGTGTAGACTGTGAATGCCATCCCTGCCCCTGCTGTCACAAGAGGGAGGCAGGATGTAGCCATGGAGATACCCAAAATAAGGAAACAAATTGTGGAACAACCCTGCCTAAGATAAATAGCAGATGAAGTAACCAAGAATTGGTGGGAAGCAACCGAGTTCATTAATCTAACGCCTGATCAGGACAGACCCGCCCAGGGCGCGCTTTGCCATCGCTGGCCCGGAAAATGATGAGCGCCAGGAGTGAGGGCTGGCCAGGGCGTGTTCTCTGGCAGACAAGCCCTCCTGGCTATGCCATTTTGGACACAGGTCTTGGAGCTATCAAGTATGAAAGTGTGAGAAAATCACAGAAAAACAGAATGTCCTTGAGTTGGAAGGGACGCATCGAGTCCAACTCCTGTCCCTGCAAAGGCCACATTCAAGCCTCCCACGGGAATGGGAGGACAGCACCTGCTCACAGCAAGTTACAACCTAGAGCCAAGTAGTGAAACCTAAGTCCCACCCGAGCAGCGATCAGCCAGCCCAGACGGGCACTGTTTTGTCACGGGCACGTTCTGAGGGCGGCACAGAGGAGCACCCGCCCCCAGCCGCACCATGGCCGGCGCCTCCCGCGGCCGCCCCGCGGGCTCTCGCGAGAGCTCCCGTTGCCGTTGGTGACGGCGCGGGCGGGGCCGCTTTGAATCGCGGCGGGCCCGGGGCCGGGCGCGCCATGGCACCCGAGCGGCCCGGGGGCGAGCGGGGCGATGCTGCCAGCGCCAGCGCCGCCACAGCCGCCGGCTCGACGCGCGTCGAGGTCCCCCGGCCCCCCTCCATCGAGGAGTTCACCATCGTGAAGCCCATCAGCCGCGGCGCCTTCGGGAAGGTGTACCTGGGCCGCAAGGCAGGCCGGCTCTATGCCGTGAAGGTGAGGCGCCGCCGGGGTCGCAGCGCTGCTGCCGGGCAGCCCTGTGCGGGAGAGCGGCGTCCCGAGGGAGGCGTGGCCCCGCTACGAGCCCCGGGCCCTCGGGGAGCGGCCGCCGCCGGGGCGCAGCCGGTGCTCGGGCGCGCCGTCCGCACGGCCGTGCCCCGCTCTGAGCCCCGGCACTCCTGGAGGGTTTGCTCAGGGCACCTCTGATAACGACAGCTGCTTTTGTAAGTGCTTTAAATACGGGGAATAACGGCGGAAACCTTGCCAGGCGCCCGAGCGCTGTTGCCTTCTCGCTTGTACAGTTGCCGTGGCTGAGCCCCCTCAGCTGCTGCGCCTGCCGGGGGTAAAGCACTGCCTCTGAGAGAGACGAGAATAAATTGTAAAAAACGTTCTTGCTGAGTAAGTATTTTAAGAAAACTCAACAAAAACCTGTTGCATTTTCTATGTCGTTGCACAAAGGGCTAAAATCTAGGCTTGTTAGTAAGAAGCTTACCAATTATTCGTGCAAACTTGACTTTGTGATTAAAAGGATTATAACAATCTACATAGTACACAAAGAATAGGAAATATAAAAACAGTTATACAAAATAGGCGTCACTCTGCAGAGCTATGTGTCTATGCAGTTTTATTATGAGCATTTTGAGGTTATATAATTTGTGTGCTCTGTTTTGTTTTTCAGGTGATGAAAAAAGCAGACATGATCAACAAAAATATGGTTCACCAGGTGCAGGCAGAGAGGGATGCACTGGCTCTCAGTAAAAGTCCTTTCATTGTGCACTTATACTACTCACTTCAGTCAGCAAACAACATCTATTTAGTGAGTAAAATAATGGCTGTGGCATTTTATGGTAGTCTTGAAAATTGAGCATAAACTGTTGCGATATCTCAAAACATTTTTGTAATGGTATTCCTTAGTCACTTTTACATCTTTCTCAGAATGGTTGAACAAGTAAAGTATTTCCCTTCCTCTGGTGTCTGTGGGCTCTTTCTGCTCATGTTCCCCTCTGTTACAGGAGAAACTTAGAAATTCTAACAACTGCTCTGTCACAGAAATATGTAGAAATCTTAGGGAAAACAAGAAATCATTCTATTCAAGCAGAAGCCAAGTGACTGGAAGATACTCCATGGCTCACTTAAAGCAAATCTACTTATTGCCAGTGCTCAAATTTTGTTACAGTTGTTGACCTACATGACAAGATGATTACTGAGTGGCAAAACTAAATGCTGGTCCACACAGAGCACTGTGGAGCACAGCAGGACTTGTGTATGGGCTTATATACTGCTTCCACATAAGGATTCAGACTGTCTGCAAAGAGTCTGACACAATTTGTGTGGATTGCTGTAAGCACACACTGGGAGCTGCTTGATGAATTTCTGAGACAGGGTTGCTATGTAAAATCCTACAATGCATTTTGAGTGTAAACAAAGGCTTCTTTTTCTGGAGTCTCTGAACTGCCGCATGGAGTAGAGGACTTCGGGGTGAAGGATTTGTAAAGGAGATGCTAGAATCTCTGGATATGTCTCTGTGTGTGTGTACATATATATATATGGAAGAAAAATGTGTATTGGAATGTAAGTACTGGTGAGATTTCCTGACCAAAACACCATAAATGCCTTCTTGACATCAAAGAGTGAATTTCAGAAGCCCTGCTGACTTCTATTTTATTTTGAGTATGACTTGGGCCATCATAATGTGTCTGCATAATTGTCTACTGGTTGTGTGTATTTTTTTCCACTCTTTTTCACGTGTCTTAAATGCACAGTAACTCTCACTGCACTTTTGATAGTTTGTACTTATTTCACAAAGTTCAGGTCTTAATTTAATATTGTGTATAAATTAGAGCAAGATGAAGTATTGAGATACTTTGATTTGTATAGCACAGGTGGTCTTTGGCTGCAGGCCTTGAGTTTCACAGGAATGCTTTGCACTTCATTTTCTGTACTATGGATATATACAATATTAAGCTAAATATAGATTAATATATGAATATAAATATAGGTTAAAATACATAACATTCAATATAGAAATATATAACATTTGTAATATAGAAAATTTTCTGTAGTTAACTCTCAAAAGCTGTAGTCAGCTTTTTAATTAGCTTCTAAAAGTAATCTAGGCAAATAAAATAAGCAAATGATCTACAGAAAGAAAATGCTTCATGTGTGCTGTTACATGGCACTTTAATTATTTTATCTAAGTGAAAAGTATTGTGTCGGAAATGTGGTTGAACAAAGGTACTTCTATCTGCTTCTGCTCTTTGAAACCATATGTTTCTAGCAGTGAAAGTTATTTTATATTTTACTTGCAATTTTGAAATGTGTTTTAAATTTAAAATGCTTGAATGACAGGTGATGGAGTACCTTATTGGTGGAGATGTCAAATCTCTTCTCCATATTTATGGATATTTTGATGAAGAAATGGCTGTTAAGTATATTTCTGAAGCAGCATTGGCTCTTGACTATCTTCATAGGCATGGAATAATCCACAGGTGATTTTTTTTTTCTTACAAATAAGTATTTGGTAGTTTGGGTTTTCTGTGTTTTCACTCTAGCACATAACCATCACCGTTTCCTTGTGGCAGCTTCCACAGGCACTTCATTTGCTGGAGCTCCTGGCAGCTCTTTTTGCACGTGTGCACTGCAGCAATGCCGTGAAACAACGGCTGAAATCAAATCTCTGTGTGTGCTGAGCACACAAGCCCACTCTGCTTTCCCCTGCCAGCTGTGGATTTTCCCAGTCCAGTGCTGGATTAGCAGCTGTGATGGTTCAGGAACGCTCTGGGTACTGCACACATGGGCCTGCCTGTAGGACAGAGGGACACTGGCTACCCTGGTGCTCCCCCCGAGTGAGTTCCTTTTGCATTCAGCAGTGCTACAGAGAGCACACATGAAAACTGCTGCTGGAGGTTTGCTTGTCACCTGTAGGAGCTGCACACGGGTGAATGTTATGATGGTGCTGCTTGTGAAGGACACTTGTTGTGTTGAAGGAGCCTGCTGAAGCACAAAATATGCAGCTGTTGACATGCATGCATGATTTTTACAAAGCCTGAGATGTTTGTGCCATATTTAATGCTAAATATATTTGATTCATTTGATGTGTCCCTCAAACTGGAATATTCTGCTGGCTAAGAGATGTTACTATTAAACAGCTCTGACCAATGTTTTGCATTGAGTGTTTCTGGTCAGTGAACTTTCTTCATGTTGCTCAGTGCTATTTTTGCTGACTTCAGCTGTATTAATATTTTCAGGGATTTGAAGCCAGACAATATGCTCATTTCTAATCAGGGACATATCAAGTTGACAGACTTTGGGCTTTCCAGAGTTACTCTGAACAGAGGTAAGAGTTGTTTCTATCATTTTTGTTGTATTAAAATGTATTTCTGCATCACATTTCCATATTCTTGAATACTTCACATCCCTGTAAAGGGCACCTTTCAATTAAATAAGTGCAAATGTTACAGTAATACCTGATTTCTAGTAGGTCAGTACTGATTAGCTGTGTGCTAATAAGGGGTCTGCTCTTAGCATTGCACTTCAAAAGGTAAAATATTTATTCTTTGGGACAAGGGTTATATGAAATATGATCTAGAGCCCTTTTTTTATAGTGATATGGATTTTGAAGTTTTCTGAAGTCCACTAAAAGATTTCAATGGGTGAATGAATAATTCTGGCTTGTTCCTGTTTCTCTACTTCTGGCCTTCAGTTCATGTCTCTCAGTCCTGTATAAATTAATTTCAAATAAATTAACTGGGACATTCCACATACTATTTTGAAGGATAAGGGGAAGATCAGCTCAGTGCTTTGGCTTATGAACATTCTCTTTTCAAGCAGAAAATACAGCTGAATAGTCATGACTGTCTGGCACAGGCTGCAGATCTTAAGGTGAATAGCCAATTTCTGGTTTGTACCTCCTTAGCCAGATCATCCAAACTTAGGCTGCACAGCACCAGTTCAGGTTTTTTTGAGACAGCTGCTGGAGGGTACATCCTTTTTATATAGTTAAAGGAATGTAGAAATTCAGAGTTGCCTAGTGGAGTTTGATTCATGGTTTTAAGAATATAAAGGAAAATCCTAGGGATTCTGTATTTTTTATGATATACTGCTTTAACTGATGTTTTAATGGGACAGGTTACTGTGTCTAGTTGAACATTATATGAAAGCTCTCAAGCTACTTACTGCTAGTGAGCAAAAAAAAAAAAAAAGTGATCTACAGTTGCATTTTCATCTAGGAAAAATTCTTGTGTAGCTTTTTTGAGATGTCTTTTGGAGTGATGGCAGGTTTGGAATCAAATTGGGTATGCTATTCCACAAGCCATAAGCTGTAACTGCTGCCTAAAAACCAAAGCTGATATCAAATTAGAAAATGTAGTGCTTTTCATGTAGTGTGTTGGAAAAAAAATTTGGCTTCTACAACTTCAGTGTGTATAAATGTATGGATAAGAAAAAACACCTTGTGTTAAGAACGTACAGGTAAGTCTTCAGTTGGGCTTCATTTGTATATTTGTTGAGTATGTAACTAAATTTTTTCTTCACCTTCATTAAACTTAAGTAAATGTCTGCAACTTTGCCTTTGTTAAATATCAAAATGTAAACCTGATCTATTTGATTTTGGATTTTTTTCTTCTGTAGAGATAAATATGATAGATATCCTTACTACCCCATCAATGGCAAAACCAAAACAGGACTACTCACGTACTCCAGGACAATTGTTGTCTCTTATCAGTTCTCTGGGCTTTGTAAGTAAATTTTCACTGTCTTTGAAGTATTTAATTTTAGTTTATTTACTATCTTAAATTCAAAAGTTGCATGAGAAGGCTATTCTTGCATCTCTTCTGCCAGCTGGTAGAATGACTTGTGATTAGAGTTTAGAGTACTTTGAAATTCTTATGTGATTATCTTGGACTTTTGAATTGTTGACTTTTTAATAGGCATGGCCAAGCTCCAATGCAAACATCATAAAGAATGGGTGAAGTTACACTCTGTCCTGGACTGAGAATTTGTTCAGACTCCATTAACTTTTAACTGTGCTTCTTTCTGCTTGTCAGTATACTCCTCCTGTAGGAATGAAAGTGCCAGGGCACAAATCGAGTCCAACGTCTGACAGTCCACATGGAGCAGTTTCTCCTGTACCTGTGGCCCAAAAGGAAAATACCCCTCTTTCAACTAAATTGTTCAAAACACGTGAGTATACCAGGCCTTGTGCTGAGGAATACTCTGGCTGTAAGGTTGTGGTCTTTTAATTTTATGTGAGTAGTTTGGACCCACTTCATAAAAGGTGTGATTCTATTGGTGTCTTGCTCTTCACCATTTCTTCAGGGCTTTACATATGGCACGTTTTCATCTACACTACTTATGTCATCTTCTAAAGTGGTTTTATTTGATTGGATTTTTTCAAATCATGACCCCTGAATTCAGAATTGCCCTTTAACATTTTATGGAAATAGTGTCAGCTCTTGACATACTTTCAGTGGAAATTGTTAAATATAGCAATGTATGCTTTTATTTAAATTGTCTTCTCATGCTGCTTTCACATTTCTAACCTGAAATGAGAAAGAAGGCAACTATGCTGCTAATGTTTGTACTGCTTTTACATTCTTGGCAAGTTCCTAATTCAAAAAATGTGTAAATTGACTATGCAGGAAAGATGACAAGAGAAATTGTTGTCAACATAGCTTTCCTCAGCTTCCTTTGATGTGAAAGCTTAACATAGTATGAAGTCAGTCAGTATATGTTGTCTGTTTGCATCAACATTTGAATTTCTTTTTCTCTTAAGATCTGGATAATTCGCAATTAACTCCTGTGATGCCAGCGAGGAGTTTAACTCCTACTCTGCTTCAGTCAAGAAACAGGTTTGGTGCCTCCAGTGTCAGTAGTCAGTCTCTCACACACCTGTCCAGTGTGGAATCAGAAAAGTGGAGCAGCCCCAGGTGCGGGAAAGGTGTAGAGGTCAGGACTGTTCCATCTTCCCACTCTAAATTAAAATTAGTTTGTACTTGTGTATGCAAATGTCTTCTATTTACTTATTTGCCTCAGTTATTTCAGGTGTTGAGAAACTTTCCTACAGTAGAAGGAGCAGGGGTTGTAATTTGTGTTGAGTAGGATTTTGGATCAAACTGATATAACCTTTTCTTTCAAACAAGTATTAGTCCTTTGCAATATAACAGGAGAAGCAAATGCTACTGAGCCTGCAGCAAAGGAGAGAACCATCACTGGTTTCACTGACCATCACTGGTTTAGCCCTATCCTGCACAGGGTGGGCACTGCTGGGAGCAGTGGCTTTTTGGAAGCTGACCTTGTCCCTATAGCTTTTATTTGCTCAGCATTGTGAGCAAAAGAATTTCTTTGAAAGACAGAACTTGGCAAAACAATAAAATCCACTTCCAACTTCTACTAGCTGTTAAACTGAAAAGTTTAGGGCTTTTATTACTGAAGGGTTTTGTATCAACTAATCTAACACCAATAATTATAGCTGATAATATTTTATCCTATTTAAATGTATTCTACACAAACCTAAAAGAAAATGCTGCTGTGCTATGTAGATCCTTGCCATGATTCCTATTTAGAGCATACAGAACAACTTACATTTAAAACAATTTCTTATTCTGTGTCTATCTGTTTCTTAGGCCTTGGTTTTAGTATTGTGTTATCAAAATATTAGAAATATCAGATTTTCCTTTTGTCATCTCTGAAGTGTAATATACCACAGGGTACTATAATGGAGTTCTTTCCTTTGGGCTGTTTTGCAAACTGAAAACTTCTGTAGCTTAATTTCTTAAAATAAAATCACAAATACAGCATCAATTGCTCTATTTTTTTTATCCTTTGGCATTTAGAAATATGTTATTTTCTATTGTATTATAGTAAGCTTATTTTATGTTCTTAAAAGAAGGCAAATTGCCAAGTTATACCTTATTTGGTTTTGGTTTTTTTTATATTTTGAAGTATGATTTTTAACTACTAGTAGTTAGAATGAGTAAGGCTTGCAAATCTGCATTTCATTATGGAGGCTGTAATGAAGTATTTAAAAATAAACATTTCTATAATGCTGTAATCATATTTTTCTTGATACTCAAAACTTAATTTGCTTTTTTGCAGCAAAGTGAAGATGAACCTCGTTCTACAACATGCAAAACCAGTAACAGTGGGTCAGCTCTCCCTTCAAATGCTATGTTGCCAAATAGCAAAGGTGTTGAAGTTTTCAAGGAGAAAGAACTTGAGTCTGCCATTTCTCCCATTGCCAGCAATGAGTCTGGCAGTAGGCAGAAGCTGGGAAGTGAACATTTGGGTATAACAGATACTCCTGTGAGCACTCTGGATGTGAAAGGCATAGCAAGAAAGTGTATTTCTGAAAATAAGATTTGGAAAGAAAAAGTCTTTGTAAATAAAAGAGAGATGATTTATGAAACAGCGGAGACTTCCAGACTACAACAGTCACTTTCAAGGCAGAATGAACCTGTCAAAGAGGAAGTAATGTTTGAAAAGCCAGGTGTAAAAAGAAGCTTTGAATCAGTTGACACTAGTCCTTGTCAGGAACTTAACTATGTTAAAAAAAGCAATGCAGAATATAAACGTGGCTGTCAGATCTCAGAATTTCCAGGAAACAAAGGGACAGGTTTGACAACAGAAATTCAATCCTTAATGCTTTGTAATGATGGATGCCTATGTGACACCTGTGAAAGCAAGGAAGAAGTGAAGAGTTTTATTAGTAACCAGGAAACAGTAGAAAGATCGCTTACTCCAACTGTAGCTAAAAATCTTATGTGTGATCTGGATGCAGACTGCGGAAAGGATGATGAAAAGGAGTACATGAACTCAAGTTTTTTAGTCACTGATGATGAAAAACCTTTAGATGTCTTCAGTGCAGATTCTGATTTACTTCCTGAAGTGTCTGTTACAGAAAGCCATCTAGAAAAACAGCTTTTAGATTTGGACAGAAGTGTTAAAGATCTCTCCTTTGAGGAACCAAAACCTGAAGGTGCGTTTATAACATCACCAGAGTCCCGAGATGCCTCACAGTATGGAGAGAAGGCACATACAGTCCAGGACTGCAAGCCATTACATCAGAAAAAGGATAATGACCAGAAACACATGGAAGAAACTTACCTTGAGGCAGTATCTTCTCCTTCAGAAAAGATGAAGGAAGCACTGAGTCTCTTAAAAAAAAATGCTGTTGTTTTTCGGAGTTATAATAGTCCAATCAATCTATCCAATATATCTGAGCCATGCAGCATGGCTTCCTTAGATATAATGGATCTTTCACCTGCTTGCAGTGGCTCTTACCCAACAACTCTCACTCCATTACAGAAAGGAAGATCATACCAGGTCTATCAGGTAGGTAAGGATGCAGATAGAAACTTTGTATGTGCATTGGACATTAGGGACCTGAAATCATTTCAGTGGTAAATTTAGGGAAAACTTAAGTAGTTTGAGGTAGTCTGTCAAAATGACCTCTGTTGACAGGGTTTCACTTGCTGCACTTGTGTGGCCAAAATTACAACATCTGTAAGAATTTAGCAGTAGCTTTATGTTTACTGGTTTGCCTTTGGCTCAACATGCATTGACTGTCCATCTCTGAGAAATCTTTGCTGTTAGAGTGAACTGATTAAAAAAAGCCCATGCTGTTTTGTCTCATTCTGCTCCTAGTGCAGTGTCATATTTTCTGTGAGCAGTTATAGGTTTCCTAATGTAATGGGAAGTCTTTGTTTGGTTGGTTTTTTTTTCTGATTTTTTTTTTTTGTTATCCTGTACTGTTCCTAAGATAGTGTGAATGCTGTTCAGTTGCTGGTAACTGCCATTGTACCTGCTACTTCTTTTTTTTTAAATCCTGTTAAAAGTGATGGTGTAATGTATTCTGTCAAGTGCCAGTTACAAGCCTATTACAACGAAGATTGATGTGAACAGTGATAGCTGCTGGATGTGACACTGGAGGAAGAACTTAAGGAAAAGTTTCTCAAAGAGAAGGCATCTTTATGCTTCAAGACTGTTGAGATAAAGCAATGGAAGCACATTTCACACATGCTTTTCAGGGAATGTTTTGTGACTTGTTCTTGGCTTGAACTTAAGTATCAGTTATTACATCTGTGACTAAACCTGGAGATGGAGTTTCTGAGCTGGGTTTGTTTGACATCTGCAGTCCTTGTCCCATCTTTCAGACCCCGTATCAAGGGGACGCTGGCACACCGTACCGGACTCCAAAGAGTGTTCGAAGAGGAGCTGCTCCCGCAGAAGGTGAACGCATCCTGGGGACCCCAGACTACCTGGCACCTGAGCTGCTTTTGACACAGCCTCATGGTAAGGCAAACCAGCCATCTGTCAGTACTTGAAAGGTGGCACCTTTACATTTCTGAGTGTCTGTAGAACTGTAAACCCTTCAAGCAATAAGATTGGGAATTCTTCTAAAATAGCTAGTGCTAAGCTTTTGACATTGTGAGTGGCTGTGTTTGCTTCAGCTGCTCCTTCCATTCCTTTAGTGCTTTCTCATAACCAGAGGTTTTGGTTGCCCACCACCAGGCTTGCTGCCAATCAGCATTGGAAGCTGCTTTGGCAGCCTGAGACTTGTATGTGGCTTAGGAGTAACAACTTGGTCATCCTGAGTGCCCTTAAAGATTCTTTGGGATGGGAAAGGGGGAATTTAGTGAAATTTTAGAGTGAAAGGCTTAAGCTTCCAATTATTTTTAGAATGTCTTCTGTGTTCATTGATAATTAAGTGTTAAGTGAAGCCAGACAATTTTATGAAGTTGCCTTAAAATCAGTTATTTAGTTGAGTGACCTCATGAAACACTGCAGACATCTGACAGGATCTTCTGTATAAGGATGCAGTAATAACCATCAAATTTTTGGAGGTTGGTTTGTTTGTTTTCAAAATACTATACTAAAATAGCACAACTTTGAAGGGCATAATTTTTTGTCTCATTCTGAGGTCCACTGAGATTAACAAAAAGTCTGAAATAGTTTTCTGCTAACTTGCAAGAAGCATTAACAAAAATTAAATGCAATGTATCTCTCTCTAATACAGTTGTTGATGTATAATTGCATTTTATTTCCATCCCAAAAGTACACTACTATTTTCTAGAGCTGCAAGTCTTGGGAACATTATGTGAGAGGGAGACCCTCATTGAGAGATAGTGATTTCTGTTCTGTGGAGCAATAAAATTCTGCTAATATAAATTCACTAAAACTCTGTTAAGAGATTTAACAATTTAACAGTAAAAACTGAAAATACTAAACATAAGTGGTTGTTGTTTTGCACTTCCATTTAGGATTTCTGCATATCTGGCAGATGTTAAAAGTGGATAATATTTTGGAAATGTTGGCAGTGCTACTTAGACAATGTGAAACTTGGTCACAGGATGATTTCTCTGTGGTTACTGCATTTTCAGGACTTCAGTGAAAGCTTGCAGAGTCTGGGGTTTGTGTCAGGAAATTACAAGTCTCCCATTACCTTCAGTGAAGCCAGGGTTTTTGGAACTCCAAATTTTCCCTCACTAAATATTTCACGTGTTGAGATGCTTGTAAATGTAGTTTTAATCCTAAATTAATCATGTTACAAAACTATTTTATTTTTATTTCTAACTTAGATTTAACATTGCCATCTTTCCTTATTGTGGAATACTACCTTAGGGAAAAAAAAATCTTCATTCCTATGCCTTTGGAGAATCATACTTGATATTCAATGTTTGTATTTGTTATGGGGGTTTTTTTGGGCAATAATTGTAATATTTTTACTTCATTGTCTTTTTGTATGCAGGGACTCTGATCTCTGGTGAGTTTTCTATATTCTATGCAGAACTGAAGTGTTCAGCAGAACTGAACAGTCAAAGTATAACCAGATCACAGTTTCTGAGAACATTGTTTGGGTGAACAATGTTTCTGTATAGAAAGACATGTCCAATATGCCTCCACATAAAAATGTGTGATGCTTGCAGAGTAAGGAAACATCATATCAGTGTGACTAAGCTATCAGAAATCATACATGTAAACATGTACTTCAGAAGGAAAGTCAGCATTCTGAAATTGTTTAACAGGAGGTAAAGCCAGAGACACTTTTCTCATTGCTGCCTTTCACTTCATTGCAGTCATTCTGATTTACTTTGCCTATGAGTGAAGAAGGTTCAGGTGCTGAAGATCTGGTGTTACTGCTTCTTGCTTCAAATCCTAGAATATCCCACGTTGGAAGGGACCCACAAGGATCATTGAGTCCAGCTCCTGTCCCTGCCCAGGACAGCCCCAAGAGTCACAGCATGTCCCTGAGAGCACTGTGCAAACGCTTCTTGAACTCTGCCAGGCTTGGTGCTGTGACCACTGCCCTGGGGAGCCTGTTCCAGTGCCCAGCCACCCTCTGGGTGAAAAAGCTTTTCTTAATATCCCACCTTAACCTCCCCAGCAGAGCTTCATGCTGTCCTTGGGTCCTGTTTAGTAGGGATATGGTAAAAGTTAATCTAACTTCAGTTAGACTTTGTGTGGGAAGAATTGCTGCTGAAACCTGGTTATTACATTGTTCAGGTTGTGATCTTATTAGACTTTGACTGGAGCTGGGAGTGTTTTACTGAACATGCAGGTACTCCTAACAAGAGTGGATGTGAACTCACTGCTTTGATGCGCTTAGCTTGGTGGGCACTCTTACCGCTGCTAGGAGCTGCTGAAAGTGTACTCCATACTGGTTAAACACTCTGGTTCAGCACTTCTAAACTTCACAGTAGTCTTTGTGAAATGGCTCAAAACATTCATTCTTAGGCTTTTTTTTTTATATGCCAAAAAAGCCAAGAACAATTAGCTTTATTATCTTTCAAAGTTTTTTTTAAATTTTTTTAACAGCAATTGTGGCATCTGTTCTTTATATGGTGGAGTGGGCATGGCTTGAAGATGCAGGAAGCTTAGGATGCATGCAGTGGTGTCTGGGATTGCTTTGCCTGCTGGTTTCAATGTATATTAATAGGAGAGATTGGCAAAAAAACCTGGAATGTGGAAAACCAGAACTATGTAATAACAAAGCAGCGCTAGGTAGTGACTACATATTGCCCCAGCCAGTTCAGTGTAATGGGAGGTAATGCCAGCTTCATGAGTGCTGGCTCGTTTCTGCAAGCTGTCTTCATTATGTTCATCATAATTTAGACAGACAAAAATGAAGTTCAATAGTCTGAAGTTTTGGAGACTTTGTAAAGAACCGAGAGAAGGGCACAGGTGGCAACATGGAGCACTCATCTCTAGTCATGAGGCATCTATTTCTTATCACAAAACAACCACTTGGAGAAGTTAGCTCCTGTATTCTCTGATGGGAGTTGATAATTAGATTGTTACTAAGAGTCCCCTTGGTTTTATCAGTAAACCCCAGTGTTACCTATAATGGATTAAAGAGCAGAGTGGCCTTAGAAAACCTTTTAATATATTTTTAATCTGCATGAATATTACATACAACTTGTCTCTTCATAATTTTCAAGCAACTTGCAGAATTTAAACACTCTTCAGCTTTTGCTAATCTTTAAGTCTTTGCAAGTATCATTTTTGTAAGTGTAATTATGTGGGTTTATTTTGCCAGGTTCTGCTGTAGACTGGTGGGCCCTTGGAGTTTGTCTGTTTGAGTTTCTAACTGGAATTCCACCTTTTAACGATGAAACACCAACACAGGTCTTCCAAAATATTTTGAAAAGAGGTAATGTGTTTCAGTAATTAGGGTAAGTATGTATTTCCAGTATTTGTTTTATAGTTTGAATTACCAACTCAGCTCTATCTTTGTAGATATTCCCTGGCCTGAGGGTGAAGAAAAGCTGTCTGATAATGCCCAGAATGCAATAGATCTCCTTCTAACAATTGACACTACTAAGAGAGCTGGACTGAAGGGTTAGTATTAAAATTGTTCTTTGCAACCAATTGCAGATTTTTAAGTGGTGATCTCGTCCTCCTGAAATTTAGGCTAATAAACTTCAATGCCTCTCTAGGTTCCATGTATAGTACCACAGCACTTAACAAGTTGTGGTATTTTCTGTATTTCTTGTGAGGTTTTTCCTTTCTGAACAAGGTAGTTCTGGGACTGGATTGTTTTGTTGGTTTTTAATTTTTTTAATTAAACTTCTCTTTTACTTTACTGCTGTTCTGCTATACATTTTTAGTATTGGACATCTGATATACCAAAGTTCTCTCTTATCTAATGGGTATTTGGAATTTTTAACCTAAATTACGTTGGGAACCTTGATTAAAAGTTGATAGTTTGGGAGAGAAGCTTCTTACAACAAACAGTTAATTCAGAGAGAGCAGTTTTTTCTTAGGAATCAGCCTGTCTTTGCTGAATGCATAGGAGAATACAAAGCTGGACAATATATACTGGACAAAGTCTACCTTTTTTTTCCCTTGTAGAAGGGTTTAAATGCTATTGTTAACAGTGACTATGCTTTTGTTTAAAAAAAGGTTGATAATAGAAAGAAATTTAGAGTGAGATATTTTGGAAATAGAGAAAGAAATCTTATGAGAACTGTTCAGGAAATCACTAGAGAAGGAATTTACTATGGTAAGGCTTTCACATAGAGACTAAATGCTAGAAGCTGAAATCAAGCCAAATTAAAATAGAGAAGACATGAGATTATGAATGAAGATTATTATGTCAACAGAGAATTCTGTGGTTTTGATAGTTCCCAAAAGCAATTTGAAGATGTTTTGCCTTCAAGTTATTGTCTTTATTTCTGGATTTATTTCCTGTCAAGAGCAGAATTTTAAAATAGATGAGATAATGGTTTCTTCCTATCTGAGCTTCTTCGAAATTCATTCTTTGTCAAGATTTACAACTCTGTCTGGTCTCTTTGTCCAATTTATAGTCCACTGAAGTGCAGTTGAATGAGTAGTTTTCAGGACAACCATTAAGTTTTTCTTGTACCTAAGTTTCCATCACTGTCATCTTCTCTCCCCTCTCCCAAATTTGTGCTCTTCCTTTTATCACTATAGCATGAAGCCTTTTGTACTGGGAAATCCCAGTTATGTTGTTGTAGTGCTGTGCTTCTCTAAATTCAGTCTTTCTGGGTAAGAGCAGCTTTCAAGCTGCTTTTGGCTCAGTGGAACTGTATGGAATAGGTTCCCTGGATGGGGGTGGCAGCTACTTGCCCTGCCAACAGTTTGATCCTACTAAAGTTGGGGTTAATCAAAGCCCAATTGCAATTTGCACTTTTATGAACTTCTAGAAAAGGAATATAGAGCAAATCTTCTGACAGTTACAGATGAGGGAACAAAGTGACTATGGGGCTTGGACAAAAGGAAGTTTCTAATGCTTATTGAATTTCTGTTTCAGAACTGAAGCATCACCCCCTCTTTCATGGGGTGGACTGGGACAATCTCCAGAACCAAACCATGCCATTTATACCCCAGCCAGATGATGAGACTGACACCTCTTACTTTGATGCTAGAAACAATGCTCAGCACCTGACTGTGTCTGGATTTAGCTTATAGCATCAAGATAAGTGAACATTCTCCATGATTTTGCACACTTACAGGTTGTCTTGTAACCCTAGTTTGGTCTTGACTAAGTTTCCTTGATGAATTTAGTGTGTTTCAAGTTACCAGTCTATTTTTATTATAGCCTTCTTTATTCTAAAGTGAAACTACTGTATGAAACTGGTATCAAGTGCCTTCATGCTACTTGTTATCTCACTGCACCTTACTAAGGGGCCAGAGCATTGTGTTTCTCGGACCTAATCACTCTTGGCAATAATGGGGCTCTTTAATAGTAATTAATTATTCCAGTTAGGAACTGTTGCATTATTTCCCAGCTAAACATAATAGGGAAAGGATATAAAGGAATTGTAATTGTATCTAATTAATAATTTACCTATTGGTGGCTCAGTGTGGTGGCAAGCTGCTTTGGGAGCAGTCCTGTCTGAGCAGTGTGAATAAAGATCCACTGTGCAAAACTGGTCATTTCTATTCAAGGTGGAAAATCGAAAGCTTAACGCAGCACTGCAGTGTCTTGTCGTCTGTTTGTCCTATTCCCAAGAAGGGATGGGAAGATACAACGGTATTCCAAGTTAATTTGGCTACAGGTGGCACGTGAGACTGGCAGGAGTTCCTCTGGTTATTATCCTGTCCTAGAGAAATGGGGCAGGGAGAGGATACTTGGGGCAAGTCTGTGGAACAAATGCTCTGCTTAAGCTGTTGTGTTGTAACCACTTGGGCTGTAGGAAGCTGGACTACCTACATTTTACCTACATTTTAGCAGTCACTGGTTTTATATAGAAAATGCCCAGTGTGTGTGTGTGTGCTCCCTTGTGTCAGATGACAAGTGACAGGTGATTTTTTGTTTTCCAACAAGTAGTATTCATACTGAAGCTGCCAAATATTAAAGACTATAATACATTGTAGGCTAACAGACTGTTCTGTAAACTCACAGCCAGAGCTTGGATTTTGACTAGAATATAAGATATAAGTGTATATTCTGTATAAACCTAAATTAGGGGGAAGTATATTTAAATTTATCTTTAAATGCAATACAAATCTTGTGTCTGCTAGGTTTTAGAGGTTTATTTGTAGATAATTCTGTTTAAATATTCTTCAGTATTTTTCTAGCATATATGTCTCTAACTTAAAGAAGATTTTAATTTTTCAGGTTAATACATGTTAGATAAAGATCATTTGTGCTAGATGGTGTTACCAGCCAAGGGCCACGTGCCAGAAGCCAAGCATTTTGCCAGTGATTTTTGCCAAGTGCCTTTTGGTTTCATGAACTGACTCTTTTTGTAGCAGTAGTGAGTTGTCTCTTCATTACCCTGCTTTGTGCAAGACAAGATTTATTGACGGAATTCTGAGCAAATAGTGCCAGGCTCCCTGCTGTCCCTTCATTGCTGGGAAAGGAATGGGAATGGTGAAGAAAAAGGAAGTTTCCTAGAAAGACCTAAAGAGAGCTGATTTTTAATACCTCAGAATGACCAATCCCAGCTCTTGTTGTGATAACTCAATTTTGTGAAACAGAATCTTGGCAACTTGCAAAACATGCAGTGAATCTCACTCCATTTGCTAAGTTTCAGAGAAGTTCTAAATTGTTCAGTCACACTGCAATTGTTACATGATGGAAAAGGTGCAAGCAAATGAATGCATTACTGAAGTAGTATTCATAGACAACATTCTCTGAAAGTGATGAGAAGTTCTTTAGTCGTTTTCCTGTGTAGAGTTAGAATACATAAACTGGGGTAGTAGGGTGCCTTAATCACTGGTATTTTATGCAATTTATTCTTCCATTTCTAGTAATCTAATTTAAGAAAGCAAATCTTAAAAGAATTAACTATGATTTCATGTCAAAGAAATAAGAAACTGAACACCACAACAGCTCTTTGTCTTCAGTACTTTACAAATGGTTACATCTGCTCCCATTTGGCAGTGTAACACACTGCCATCGAGGTGGAAGAAACTTGTTGCACTGGTATAATCTTCTTTAACCCCTTGAAATGGTTCTTAAACATCTCCAAGGGTCATGTAAGCTTCTGTAGAAATCTTATCCTCAAAGAAAATTGTGGTGTTTCTACTAGTTGATTAATGCAAAAACACAGAATTAATACAAAGCCAGTTGATTAATACAAAAACATAGAATCTGTAGAACAGTAAATTGGCCAATTGACAAATCTGAATGTTTAATATAAAGTTATCACTACACTGCTGTGTGAAATTTAAATTTCACACAATTAGCCCTGAAAATATTGCAATATCCTGTTCTATTCATTATCTTGCATTTATCCTGGTTATAGCAAACATGGAGTTGAATGTCAGATGTTGATTGTTGCGATTTGTGATGTGGTTTTGTTTGTTGTGGGGTGTTTTGGTTGGTGGGACCTTTTATCTTTTGTAAAAAGGTGAATCCTAGCTTTACTGTTCAACATGGAATTCCTTGTCAACTTAGTCCCACTGGTTTTGTCCCACTTGTTGCTTGACTTGAAATACTACAGGTAGAAGTTTAAAAGGTATAATGTAGTAGCTGGAAGAGATCAAGTGTTATTAGTAAAGATCTGCAAATAACAGTGTAGGCTGGCAAAAGTTCCTGATGCTTAGAAGCTGTGGAATACCATTTGGCAAGTCTTCCAGCTGTTACACGGTGCTCCCTGAAGGCCTAAACTTCATGTGCATAACCTACACGTGAACTCTGTAGCTTCCCGGTTATCTTGGGAGGCTGTTTATCAGCCATTAGCACAGTCCACCTGAAAACTACTGGAGAGAGCAGTGTTGTACTTGGTTCCACAGAGGCAGCAGTTTTGGACAGTTATTCCCAGCCCTCATGTGCTGTTGGGCTCACCTGCACATGGGGCAGTGTCTGGGGGCCAAGGTGCTGAAGTGCTGCCGTGTGTTGTTGAGCCAAGAGATTCCAGTTGAAGCATGACTGGGTTTGCCACATGCTAACTCTGGCAATAAAATGCATTCTTTTCCTCTCTACTTCATTCTCCAAAAGTTCACTTTGCACTTACTTCAAAATTCATGCTTCAAAAACTCACTTTACCTTTGTGTAAATATATGAAATAAAATATTGCAGTTGTGCTTCTGCATCTTGTTTTTCTTTATTGTGTTACTTTTTCCTCTGCTGGGAGTGTGGCAAATGGATTTTTACACAAAGAAACCCTGAGTGCTTCCCACTACCTCAGCAAAGGCAGTGATTTTTAAGCTGTCACTTTCAGTACAGGTCTGTATGCCCTTCAGTTAGCTCATAACGTGCTAGCCCCTGCCTGTAAGCCTTAGTACCAGCTGCACTGTGTACTGAAATGGCGGGAGAGCAAAGTCCTGAGCGAGCCTGTAACTCCTGCGGGGTGTGAGTCTCCTCTGCATAACTCACCACATGAGTCGAGAAAGGATGGTGGCTCCATCTCCTCAGCACCAGAGCAGAAGCAGCAGAGCCCTGAGGCTGCTGCACCATGCGCACGCTTAGACCCAGCTCTGCTTCCATGCTCTCAGCTGAGCAGCTCTGAGGGGATGGAGTGTCTAATCTGGTTTGATAAGGGGCAAACTGCAGAGCAAACATCTGCCTTTCAGGTGAAGCCTGATTTGCTGCAGGAAACCAGGCTGATGTTTTCTTCACAAGTGCAGTTTGGGGCTGGCTCTGGCCCTTTCCAGTGCTATGCAGAACTCTTTCCTGCAGAGAGCACAGGCTGAAGCATGTATGCCAGCTCTGAGCTCCAGCCACCTGCTTGTGCTAACTGCCTCCACAGCAAAGCTGTGTCTCTTTGTACCTGGGCAAAGGATAAAAAAACCAAAACAACCAGTTTTCCTTACCTTTAAGCTGGAATACCTGCCAACTAGGAATCTGTTCAATTTATGGTGAGTTTGAGATAGGCCCAGTTCTGAGTTACAAGTGAATTTTTACTCAAGTGACATTATTTTGTATTACAGCTTTCAGGTTTTGACTGATTCTTCACGATACAGCCAGCAGGCTCTTGTATACACAGCATCTGGTATACAGCATTTAGTAAATGTTAAGTTCAAGATAAAATACAAAATATTAAGGGATTGATTTATTGAAATATGAATAAATAACAAGGATATTACAAGCCTACATTTATTTCATGGAGAGGTTAGTAATTAAGTACCTTTGGGAATGTCTGTCCCATCTCTAAGAGCTCAACCCCTACAGGTGACACGAGCTGGGAGGCACTCCAGGGTGGTTTGTCCTTGCAGAAGACATGCTGCTTCAGGAGGCTGGGGTTTCATGTGACCTTCAAGCTCAAGTGTCCCTCCTGTATGATTTCTATCCCTTATAATAAGAAATCAGTCACTTTAGGGATTTGAAGCTCAGGCACAATGGCTTCAGGTCCCAGCAGAACTTCAGGATAAGCTTTGTTCAAACCTGAGTTTTCAGTACATTTCATGCCAAAACTCATCTCTGGCACATGAAACAATCTGCTTGTTACAGCAGTCTTCAAAGAGGTTACAGCTATTTTATTTTTTAATTCAGCTTTACAATAAGAAAATCAGAAGAAGGGGAAAATAACTAAAAAAAATTTTCACATAACTAAAAAACAAGATTAAAATCTCTCTGGTAAAACCAACATTAAATTCTGTGATTACATTTTTATACAGTATAGCTTATATGAAAAATGTTTTCCAAACTATAAAATATTTTCAGGAAGGACCAAAAAAACTTTCCTTAAAAATTATTTGTAGGATGTAGTCCTGGTGGAAAATGAACGCACATCAATAATGGTGAAATTTTTGAAGATTCAGAGCTTAACCATGGATTATGTTGTGATATAATTCTTCATAGCAAACTGTTAAGTTTTCTGTCAAATCTAATTTTAGTGCATTTGCATTTTCCAGAGATTTAGACAACTTATATATTAATTTATTTAAAAATTAAGTGTAAAGTATGCTTTTGTCGAGCAAACTTCACAAGTTCTACCTCTATCTGTATATGGGTTAATAAATATTCTGTGGGGAAAAGAAAAATATCAGCTCCAAAATTAGCTGAAAAGGTTGGTTTTTTTTTTTTCTGAGAGGAAGTAGAAGGATAAGAAAGACATACCAGAACTGATATGTTTCATGATGTGACTTGGGGAAAATCCACAATACATTAAATCTTACTTTAACTGCCAACAGAAAACTTACAGTGCACTGAGCTTTTTAAAAGCTTAAAGCTAGACCTACTGAGCTAGTTTTCATCTCATTTTAATGCACCTTGTGCCTAAACTATGCATTTCAGTTAAAATAAGCTGTTGTCAACAAGAACACAGTTATGAAAGTTAAAAAGATAAGGTGCAGCCTCTTTACATGGATCCCTTGTACCACATGCTGTTTCCAAACTTGTATTTGACAGTCCCCCCGTTATTAATGGCTCTAACTTTCAGGATATATACAAATACCCAAATCTTCTTTAC